TTTATATCTGTCAGTTTTGAGTGGTTTTCCCTATGTTTGGATATCTTTCAGCATTTTTTGACGCCTACACCAGATATCTAACAACCTTCTTAATATCAATTCAACTGAAGTGAAATTAACACGTGTAAACAAGATTATCTGATAACCTTCTTTATCTCAATTCAACTGAAGTACTCTTGAATGGATATTTCTTCCTTACTTATATGTTCCAAAACTTAAGACTGCATGTGCCATTAGAGGTGCTGCATCTTCACTTATTCGTAAGATGGGGGAAATAGCGTATTATTTTCATCCATGGGTTGCATAGAAGCTTCTAATCTATTGTACTTCATTCATGACTAATATAGCAGGGCCAGCTCAATATCCTGAATAGAGTTGGTCATAGCAAACTTAACGCGCTTTAAGTTTGAAGGGAATATATTGGCCGAGACAGATGGTATATTTTTCTCCTTGTGAACTTTTATTAGCGCCTTGTGATACTTTTATTAGAGCTGCAATACTGTTCTTATATATTATCATAAAGATTTGCTTAACTTAATTCACAGCTAATGGGCTTATCAGAGGTATGTACATTCGCCTCACAATATTTTTACATGTTCTGCTGTGGCAACTTCATGTGATTTCATGAACTAATTGCACCATTTTCGAATTCAATGAAGATCTTTTCTGCTTATTTTTTAAGGTATCTTAGTATGGTGATTGTGAGAAATATGCTGCCAGAAGTTGCATTGGACAATTTTTTTCCGCGTTTTTTGGCCTTGCTGAAAATGTTCAATAATCCATAGAAAAAGTTCGCCATTAGTTCATATATAGTCATTTTCAATATTGATTGACAATTCTATGGCAATAGCAAGAAGAGTCTATTCTGCAAGTAACTTTGCAAGATATTATCCAAATGATAATTATGCAAACTTACACTAAAATGCATATAGTATGGCGAAGATATTTTGTCAGTTGTTTTAGTTGGGTATCTATGTTTCTGTACGCCATAATTTACTCTCATGTCAGTAACATTTTAGTTTTAATGTTGACAAATGTACAGTAAAAAGACTGATTACTTAAAAAAGGTCTACATCCTGTACATAACTTATGTTTTAAACGTATCTTGGTGTTAATATCCATGCCAATCTTTATCAGCCATTTTCAATGTTATACAATTATGTAATAATATGTGCAATGAGTAAAAACTTGGATCGTATCACGATTCCTTATAGATAGCATTTGGGCTGTGCAGACCACATGGACTCATTCTAGAAAGTTTCTACAGTTCACGTATTTCTCCTTTAATACACATAGATGAATTCTGTGGGATCATGTAGTGCATGCTTAATCTATTTAATCATGAAGCTGCATCCTTTATCCAAAACTTTGTCTAACATAATTGCATTTAGAAGTTGTTTGTATTATTCCTAGTGATGGATCAGTTTCCAATCTTTTAAAGTGGCCAGTTTGTGATCTTATAGGAATATGATTGGCATATAATGAACATGTCTGATTTCAATTTTGAATTACTTATGCTTATGCTTCTTAAGCATCTTGCAATTGTGTCTTGTCTTCATTCTATTCTTTTGGTAACTGTTCAATACAGTGGGAAATAAACAGTGGGTTTAAATCTTATCACTGTATGTAAAAAATTAATATATATTCACATCTAGTTCTCGAGGGAGAAATACAGGTAATATTATTAATTGTCATTTCATGTGGTAAACCATACTCTCTGTTTATGCATGATATGTCTTTCTCTCAGTTTGTTATTCTCAACCCATCTTTCAATAATCCAACGCGTTCTGGTATTTTCTGTTTTGGCATTGTTTTTTAGTTTTCTTATTCATTATTCATTTTGCTTCTCCTATATTTTTGGCTTTATCTCTGTGAAAATAGCATCTTGTACCTTTGTAATTATAATTAGTCGCTTTCCTAGTTTATTAACCATTTCTATGCGATCAATGTTTAATGAAATTTACTTTGAGTGCTTTGTAATTTTGGAATATCATAGTTTTCTCAAATATCCATCTCTAGGAATTAGGATGAAGAGTATGCTACATGTTGACAATTATGTCCACTACCAAATATTAACAAATATTATACTTGCTGTCTGTTGGTAGGTGGTGTTTTTGTTGACTTGTTTTTATTTTTCCTGCAGAGCTTTTAATTTGTTTGTACCTTTCTATCAGCAGTATTTGTGGCATATTGCTAATGGATAAGACAGAGATGGAGGCTGTAGATTTCAAAAATTCTACGGAGAGCCAAAGCTAATGTTGTTGTGGTGTTAGTTGAGTATGGATTAAAAATGTAGGCATCTAGAAAAGTGAAAATAATAGCAGATAAGCTTTTGGATGAGGCTGTTAAATTACAATATGAAATAATTGTTCTGCCGGCAAGTTAATATAGCCATTGAACATCGAATTCTTCATCATGTGTACATATGTAAGTAAGTTTATATTTGCTTCCTATTACTTTGTGTGTGATTGATTCAATCATTTGTTGGTCTTCAAATAATATTCTTTATATTTTAATTTTCTTATTCTGATTCTCTTTTTTAAGGGGAAGAAGACAACAACATACACTGCTATGTGCAGCAAGCTTTCTAATCAAAGTGAATGTGAGAATAGGGTGGTGGTTGATGGAAACCCGATCACAAGCAGAGGGACAAGGACTTCCATGGAATTTGCGCTGGCCATAGTAGATAAGTTCTTTGACGATGCCCTCAATCTTGCAAGAAGCCTGGTTTTTGTATAATAAGCTAATAATAGCTCTGTGGTAGAGAGCTGGGCATATGAATGTAATCAGCACTTTCTGAATAAACTAAGTTGCATTCAAATGCAGAGGTGTAGAAGCAAAAACAAACATTCATGTTATATCTATTGAGTCCTATACTTTAGAATGACATGAACGTGAATTTTGGGTTGTTAAATGTAAGTTGGGGGGAGTATTTGTTTGAGTTGCTTATAAAATCTTTATTTTAAGGTTTTACAGTAAAATTCATATTCATATTCTTTTTAAATTTTTTTGGGAAATTTTATTTACATTTTAAGGTGTTGTCTGCTGGTATCTATTTGTAGTTTACTAAAAAAATATGTTAGCTTACAACTTGAGTGAATGTTACAGTTTTGTTCCTGGAGCTGTTAATGTTATTGATAAGAGTATTAAATGCGTTTATCTAATGTTTGAATGTGTTGAGTTTGTTTTATTTTTGTGTTTGCATATGTTTTGAGTATCTAAGAGTATTTCGAGATTTGCCAAGGGTGTTCATCTATTTGTGTTTGGATGTGTTGACATTCTTTGATTATCTAATGATTATTCTCCCATAATACTGAATATTCATCTATTGTTTATATTTAAAATCCAATGCCCTTAAAAAGTTACTCATCAACCTTAATAATAATATTTGATCAGACACAGTTTAATGAGTGTTTTGAAATTTATATGGGATTGTGAAATTTTCATGCGTGAATATATGTACTCACATATTACATATTGCAAAGACTTAGTCAAGCTTTGAATGCTATGAGCTTGGACTTACATCCACATCATCAAACATTACTATTATGTATATTCTTGTGAAAGTATTTGATTGATCAATCGCGTTATAGATGCAACCAGTGTATTATCGTCCAATCAATCAATAAATATAATTTAATTGTTCAAATGTTGAATGTTTAGATTATGTCTATATGTTTGATCCATTACTTACATTCCATAATTTTATAACAAAACATTATAAATAAAATTATAAATTTTAAACAAAAAATAAAAATTTTACCACGTGCATTGCACGTGCAATCCAACTAGTATAACGAAGCATGAAAGTATATTTTGCAAGGCTCTAATCAAATTCATGTATCGAAATTAACTAATAAGCAAATCCAACGTGGACCAGGTTCAAATTAAATTCGAAAATTTAATAGATCTATAACATTTTGAAAACAGTTTATGGTAAACTATCATTTTCACTAGAAAATTGTCCCCTACATTTTTTGTTTTATCGTCATGTACATTTGCTAAGTTATTTATTTTAACTTTTCTTGTGTATGTTCATATCCACATGATGTACCAAAGTCACCCTCATCTCTTAGGCGAGTTTCTCTCATCATAATTTCTCTACGCACGGATGACAACATAATTGCCAAAAAGTAACGACACCCCCTGGCACATGCAACCATCCCCAAAAATTTCGCTTTATTATATCAAACCTCTTAATTCTTAAAATCACAAATTCACCCTTACCACCTGGACCCTGGGAGCCAGTGAATACGTAAAGGGTTAATAAGAGGTTGTTTGGTTCGTTTCCTAAAAATCAAGAAAAGAAAAAGGGTACATGAAAATTAATAAAATATTATTTTCATCCATTTCCATCCCTAAAACTCACCATAACATCTAATAAAATATTATTTCCATCCCACAACTCATCTCATATCATCTCCTAAAAATAAACCAAACACAAGAAATGTGTCACATCATCCAACTCCCACAACTCATCTCATATCATCTCCTAAAAATAAACCAAACACAAGAAATGTGTCACATCATCCAACTCATCTCATCTCCATCACAAAAAATAAACCAAACACAAGAAATGTGTCACATCATCCAACTCATCTCATCTCCATCACATCTCATCTTTAAAAATCACTCACATCATTCAATAATATGGTGGCATCTCATCTCATCATATTAACATTTCATTTCCACATATTTCCCCCCCAAAAAAACTAGAAAATCGATTTCTTAAGTGTGGGTCACATAATTCAATAATATAATGACAACTCATCTCATCTTATCTATTTTTTTTATTTTTATGAATGAACCAAACATAAGAAAAGAACATATTACAGGAAATATGTTGCTTATAATTTATTTCTTTATTTTTTTAGTCAACCAAACAACCTTAAAATAAATTTTCTTAAAAAATCACCCACATCATCCAATAATAATGTGACAACTCATCTCTCATTCTTTGATTTCCTTTTTTTTAGCCAACCAAACAATCTCAAAATAATTTTTCTTAGAAATAAGTTTCCTATTCTTTGATTTCCTTTTTTTTAAGGCAAACAAACAACCCCTAACAGTGAAAGTGTAAATATGTTCTCAGTCGGAAGCTATTAGGTTCTATACGCAATAGCTTTTAAATTCTAGGGTTCTTTATAAATATAGCAAATTACCTGTTTGATAAGTACACATTGAATTGCATCGTTATCACCATAATGTATGTCTGAAAGAAAGGCTAACAAGGAGAGTGCGCTAATAAATAAATGAGCGTGTTCTTTAAATTTTAGGTTTTTTACTCTTCAGATCCCAAACCACGTGCAAAACCCGAGACCAGCAGACGACTGACGCGTAATCATTTGTGGGTTAAATTAACGTTAAACTCACCCGCCTATTCACTCGCAAGAATAAAATTCACGCCAAATTATCAATAGCGCCAAACCAAACTTGTATTTACACTTCGGTACTTCAGGGTTAAATTCTTATTACTACGCAAGGCAACGACGAGCCAACCTTCACGAAAGCGGGTCTTCATGTAAAAAAAAACCCCTCTGTCTATCGCTGGAAAAATAACAAATACAAAAGAGGGGAGACGCCAAATCTGATCAAGAGAACAAAACCTCGCAAAATCTGCTCACAAGCGAGCCTCCGATCGATCTCCGCCGTCGATTGGAACCTGTCGGAGCTCCGATCAAGATTTGGATCCAGATCCGATAACGCCGGTGGATGGAGCATCGATCATCGGCGATAAGAGATTATTTTGGTTCGGATTAGACTGGATTGTGATCGAGTCGAATTTGAGGAGGAGGAGACGATGCCAGGTCTGCTGAATGCTCCAGCTCCGGCGAAGTCACCGTCGCCGTCGCTGGCGGAATCAAAAGCGATTTGGTCGAAGAAATGCGATCATATCACCTTCGATCAACTCCAGAAGGTATCGATCCGCTCATCGGATTCTTCCTGTTTTCTGTTTCTATCCAATTGTTAGATCAAATTTTTGTTTACTTCTTGATGCTTTTAATTAGATTTATCGAGGGAAATATTAGTTTTTAATCATTAGGAATTATTGGATTGATATGATAGGATGTAAGTGATTTAGAGGCAAATGTGAGAATAAATAACATTAAGTTTTTGGCTGTTAACTATAGATATGTTTGAATTTTTATTATTTGTTTAATTATTGGTTTGATGCTGCTGAGACTAACCATCAGTTCTAACCTTTGTCTTTCTAGTCGGTTATTGATGCGAGAGATTTATAGGGCAATGGAGAAAATTTAACCCTTCTAATTGAGATAAATAGGCACATTTCCAGTTAGTTATGAAATGAGTTGACATCAATAGGATAACTGGACTAATTCCTTTCAGAATGTCGATATGATCAAAAAGAGGGGGAAAAAGAGTGTTCCTTGGACATCTTTCTCTTTGAGTTTGGTTTTGGAGTGATGAGCAAGTCGAAGGAATTACAAGTTCTTGCTCTTCTGATTTTTATGTTCATCAGATAAGGGAACTTTCCTGGTTTAAATTGTTTCTTCAGTGTAATTGTTCGTATGTTTGTGATGTTAAATTTTAGAAGGTAGCTAATCACTTATTTATAGCTACAAAGTGTATCTTTTTTCCTTCCTTTTTTGTGCAAGAAACTAATTGCGCATCTACTGGAATCAGTTTTGGAACGAGTTGCCTCTCCAAGCGAGACAAAAGCTCTTGAGGATCGATAAACAAGCCCTTTTCGAGCAAGCTCGCAAGAATCTCTATTGCTCGAGATGCAATGGATTACTTCTTGAAGGCTTCTCGCAGATTGTTATGTATGGAAAATCGTTGCAGCAAGAGGGCGCTTCCTCTTACCTTTCTAGAACAGGGCCCACCTTGAAGGCCCACATTGACAGTGATTCAGATGATATGCTGGACCCTTCTGTTCACCCATGGGGAGGGCTGGCAGCAAATAGAGACGGGATACTAACTCTTCTGGACTGCTTTATAAATGCAAGGTCATTAAGGGTGCTTCAAAATGTAAGCTGATAGTACTCGAGCATTCCTCCACTTACTATTTGTACTTCTAGACTGAGAGCCAACTTTCCAATTCTTTATTATCTAAAGAAGAGTGTTCCTTGGCAACCTACCAAATGAGGTGGATGGTGTAGCGATGAAATTAGGCCATTAAATACAACTATGATGTTTGTTTTACAATTATAAGATAGAGTTAATTGTGATAGACCCCCTGTAATTATGCCTAACTCCAGATAGACACATGTAGTTCTATTTGAGTGAATAGACCCTTTAGTTCTGTTTGTGCGGATAGAACCCATGAATGAACTTTTGTGACACTTTTAAGAGGCAGAAAAAAATCACTCAGGGATTATATCCGCATTTGAGCAGATAGTACAGAGGTCCTATCCACACCAGTAGAACTGTAGGGGGTCTATCCATAATACGGCGATAGTACAGGGAGTCTATCCGCAATGAATCCTATAAGATACTAGAAACATTGAATTGTTTTACTAATACGTAACCCTGAGACTGCCTGTGTTTAGGTTTTTGATAGTGCTCGAGCAAGGGAACATGAACGTGAATTGCTATACCCTGATGCATGTGGTGGAGGTGGTCGTGGCTGGATAAGCCAAGCAATGACCAATTATGGCAGAGGGCATGGTACTCGAGAAAGCTGTGCATTGCATACTGCCAGGCTTTCTTGTGACACACTAATAGATTTTTGGTCCGCATTGGGTGATGAAACTAGAACATCCCTTCTACGGATGAGAGAGGAGGATTTTATTGAAAGGCTAATGTACAGGTTACTTTTCTTGCTTCAGATCTTCCTTTTATGATATTAAGCCGTCTTTTGCATAGAGTTAAATTCTTTTCAATTGTGAACCTACTACGCAATCATCAAAAAGAAATGTGCTAACTCTGGTTAATGTGATTTGAACTTTTACTGATACCAAGAATATGAATAGAAAGATTTGCAGCCCAACTGTTGATGCTACTTAAGATTGTTGTAATCCAAGAACTGGTGCCAATAAGTTTTCCGTGCAGCATATAATTGGAAAGTATTTATCTCCTCGTGAATCTGGCAGGATCGTTAGCAGCTGAATTTTTAAGTCATGCTGGTATGTTTAATTTGGGAAGAACTTTCAAAAGTTCCACAGCTTTGTGTTAGACGTATATGGAAACAGATGAATGAGTTATTGGTTATCTTATTATGATTTTCAGTATACAAACATGCAAGTGCAATCATGTGTAGCAAATCCAACACATGCAAGTGCAATCATGTGTAGCAAATCCAACAAATGCAGTCCATTTGTGAGCTGTGATGGACGTACTATGTGAAACCCACTATTCTTCATATGCATCTATCTTTCCTAATTTGTACGCTGGAGGCTGGACCAACTTAGTATTAATAAACATCCTTCTACTCTATATCTGTCTCATATAATTGCTTCCTTTTGCTTTATGTTCAATTTTAAAAGTATCACGAGGATTAGCTATTTCCTTGATAATCACTGATGAGAAGAAGGTAAACTGTATACAGGCAATCTAAGTTATTCTTTGAGATACCACAATTTATTCACAATTGAATCAGCAGTAGAACTGAGAGTTAGTTGATTGGTCCAAATGGATAAGGCAAAATCACACTTTTTTTATTCTACTATGGTAGAGGATGGTAGATATATGAGATAATAGCATATGCATCTTAGCTCATGATAGTTAGAGTGAGTAGTGGTATTAAGTACAAACAGCTGCAGCAATAACAAGATAACCTATATTCAAAACCTTCGAGTTTGAATCCTTCTCTTCCATTTAAATTTTCTGTAGCCCATCTGCAGGACTGAATTAACAACTATTATATCCTTTTAGTTGCCTACATCCACATTCATCCACGCGTATCTCTAGTCCTATTGCTCTATGAACTATGATCATATCATTTTTCCTGAATGATGGACTTATTGGCATTCATTGCACATGCCAAAACTATCTTCTCAAGTTATTTGCTTATCCTTGATCGGAGCGGCCTTTAACTCCTTAGTCCTTATAGAATAACAGTTTCTTGTTATATATTCTAACATGTTGTCATTGATTCGCCTTAGCATTGTTTTTACTACGTTCGTCTTTTAGGCATACTGAATTGTTTCTTAACTGCCGAACCTTTTGACCTCACACTCTAATTCCTTTATCTTTTAAGGAATAAAATGATATACAGTTGTAATAGCACCTTCAGTGTTCTGCAAATGGGATGTTTTGTAATCAGGAGATTGGCATGTAGTAAATTGCAAATTGTAGGTTTTGAATTTCTTTTACAAGATTGGGGTAGTGGATTGGAGGAAGGACTAGTTAGAGTAAAAGCAATTGCGAATTGTACAACTTGGTAACAAAGAATGAAAGAAATGAATAGCTGTAGATGGCAAACAGAAAACTGAATATGTCGAAAAGGGTCAGAAAGAGGATGAATTAGGAGATAGAATCAGGAGATTGACATCCATCAGTACATTGGAAGCATTTTCGTAGAGAGTTTTGGATTATCTCCATCCCTAAGTATTTCAATAGATGTTGAAGCATCTAGGAGGTTTAGGGTTGTCCCTTGATTGAATGACGTTAACCTGCAGAGCCTGTAAGATGGGTGTTCCTGCTTGCCAACTGGCTTACTAGGTAATAGTGGTAAGGCTTCTTCTATTTGCATTTCCTTGGAAAAATCGAGTTTCAACATATTATATAGCCTGGTCAAATTCTTGTGTTGCCTTCTAAATATATAGTGGTGGTAGTAGGACCCTCTTTTGATGGGAGCATAAACCATTGTATCAACATCCCAAGCATGATTATCTACATCATCTGGTACGTCAGTTATAGTTATTTTGAAAAAATCTGCATGTTTCTTTGACAGAACATAGTGGATCTTATGTAGCATTTCATCATTTTTCTTTCTTTCTTTCTTTCTTTCTTTTTCTTCTTCCCTCTGACCCTACCGTACTCCAGCTTAGTAGTTTCCACCGCCTGTCTAGAGTTGAGCCCCGGGATTTGACGGCGGACTTGAAAAGCCACCTACAGACGCTTTACGCCCAATCATTCCGGATAAGACCGAAGTGTTTTCTAGGTAAGGGTCCTGTAGTAAGAGGAGTAGTTATGAACCCTGTAGACCATTCCTGTGGCGGCAGGGAAGGGAGAGCCCCAATTGGTTATTTCATTTCGATTTTCTTTCCCTCTCTTTTCTTTTTATTCCCTTCCATCATTCCTCAAGTCCCATAGGTTAAGATACCATAAAAGACAAGAAATCTGCATCAAATGAAGGGACAGGCCATCCTGCATTTCATATATTGAATCTTGAAAATATGGAACTAAAAGTAGAGAGAGGAAAATCATGGCCAATTGGTTTAAAGGATAATTCCATTAACGTTTATGTGGATCTGTTGCTTTCACGGTCTGTGTTTAGGTTCAGTTAATTACTTTGATTGAGGGGAATGTTGTATTCATTAATATACCTAGATCACTAATGTTAACGGCACTGTGAAAATTTTCACGTTACAGGTTTGACAGCAAGAGATTTTGCAGAGATTGCAGAAGGAACGTCATTCGTGAGTTCAAGGAACTGAAGGAATTAAAGCGCATGCGGAAAGAGCTTCACTGTACAACTTGGTTTTGTGTTGCGGATACTTCTTTCCAATATGAGGTACTCTTTTCTATTTTTATTATTATCATTTAATTTTATTTGATTTTCCTGACAAAGTTTTCTGGGTTTTCTTTAAACTCTGAAGAGTATTAAAGATGTCTCACTAGTCACTCCCCATATTTATTTTAAGGCTGTAGGGATGCAATTTCCGGGAACATCTCATTTTTATCTCACTGGAAGCCTTATTGTTTTGATAGTGTAATCTAACATAATAAAATACTTCCACAACAGAACGAATCACCTAATAGGAGATGTTCCTTCAATAAATTAAACTAGCTGTATTTTGGTGCTGTGCTGTTTTCAGGTATCAGAGGATACAGTCCAGGCAGATTGGCACCAAACCTTTACAGACTCGATTGGAACGTATCATCATTTTGAATGGGCTATTGGAACAGGAGAAGGAAAATCAGACATTTTGGAATTTGAAGATGTCGGTATGAATGGAAAAGTTCAAGTCAAGGGACTTGATCTTGGAGATTTAAGCGATTGCTTTATTACACTTAAGGCGTGGAAGCTTGATGGTCGATGCACTGAGCTCTGTGTTAAGGCTCATGCAATGAAGGGGGAACCATGTGTCCATCGCCGGCTAATTATTGGGGATGGTTTCGTAACAATAACTAAAGGTGAAAGCATCAGAAGTTTTTTTGAGCATGCTGAAGAAGCTGAGGAAGAAGAGGTATATCTTTACAGATTTGTTGTCGCATTCACAGGAAAATGAACTGTTCTAAAAACTAATTATATATGCTGGTAAGTGAGAACAGAATATGAAAAACATGGGTGATTATGCATAGATAAATGATGTGAATCTCATGTTCTTTCTGTTTGTTCACTTCTCGACCTTGCAGCAAACATGAACAGAAATTTGCAAGGAACACTTTTTGGTTTTCTTTAGTAGTACATGTTCTCTAAAGTTTTGTGAATGTGCATCTGCAGGATGATGATGCCATGGACAAGGATGGAAATGAAATTGATGGTGATGGTTCCCGTCCCCAGAAGCATGCCAAGAGTCCTGAACTTGCAAGGGAGTTCCTCCTAGATGCTGCAACTGTAATATTCAAAGAACAGGTGTGCTACAAAAGCAGCTTGCTTTAGCCTTCAAAACGTTTCTCACCTATTTTAGGTGTACACTCTGCTAACTACTATATCGCTAAAAAATAGTATTAACTTGTGGATTATTCTTATTAAGAGGCTACTATAGATAAAATTTATCCAAAGGAACAAGGTACGTTGTAGCCCCCCACAAAAAAAAGGACACGCATGGTCTTATTTTCTAGATGGTGGAGCTTCGTTTATCCATATCTTAAAAGATATGTTTTGTTTATTATCTTTTAAGAAAAAAATATTGTAGTAAAAATTAAGGAAATATATGATTTAATATGAAATGTAAAGAAAATCATGTTACACCACATGGTTTACATATCAAAGAAGCATTTGGTGATTGTCAATATGCATTTGTTAAATTTCAAGAGTTAAACATTAAAATACATTATAAAAATAGAGCACATATTGGAAAACTGTCCTAGATAGACATGATATGCAGTATCGTCTGTATGTATGAAGGACATGCATACGTGTGAAAAGATCTTTGCAACAACTATTGTACTGCAAAGACTAATGTGAGGAGGAATTCTGTGCCCAAATTAGAGCAGTAAGAACTAGAGCTCTGGGTACATTCGATGCACATGATAGGCCTTTGAGACATGTGATTCACATTCTTTGAAGCTTACCACGATACCCACGTGTGCACACCTATGGATATACGGCACCAATAGAAATTAGGCTAGGCTTCTTTATTAGCTCCCTTTATTGAACCCAAAGGGTTTTGATATCTTGGCTATAGCCCCCTTTATTTCATTTCCATCAGCTTGTTAAGACAAATTATATTGTCTTTCCAGGTAGAAAAGGCTTTCAGGGAAGGTACAGCCCGACAAAATGCACATAGTATTTTTGTTTCTCTTGCTCCTGCAAAGAAATCATTACGTTAGAGAAGCAGGTATTTGTTTCTCTCTTTTATGTGGTTAATCGTTTGAATCAGATCAGCTATTGGTGGATTTTGATAAATAATGAAATCATCTGACAGATCAAACTTCTCGAAGAAGAGGAAAGAGAAAAGCGTGAAGAAGAAGAGCGAAGAGAGAGGAAAAGAACAAAAGAGCGAGAGAAAAAGCTTCGGAGAAAAGAAAGGCTCAAGGAAAAAGAAAGGGAGAGGGAAAGAAAACACAATGAATCAAACTCGCCTGAAGTTTCATTATCAAAATCTACAAATGACTCTCCCACAAGTGCTCTTGACAACTCTTCGCCTACTATTGCAGATTCTGGGGAAGCTGTTAGTGACCCAGGGGAAGTTGTCACTGCACACAGGCCTAAAGATGAGCAGTCCGCTAATGGATGCACTGATACAAAAAACCTGAATGGTGATATCCCACATCACCAATGTCATGTTGACGAAGAGTTCAGTGTTAGAGATAGCAATGACCCTTTTATACTGGAGCAATCAAAATCATCTAGGAGGAAATTGAGGTTGAAAAAGAATTCTCTTCCAGGTCAGGCATCCAAGTGGTATGAAGATGGCGTTCATTGTGATGAATCTGATACCGTGTCAATGGATTCTTCAAGATTGATAAATGGAGGGCATAGGCCATTGAGGGAAAGGGTCGTGAAGACCAACACTAGAACTTGTAATACTAAGTTTAGTGAGAGATACAATTCTCTGAGCAACAGATGCAGCTGCAGTCAAAATGGTGATTACAGGCCAAAAGATGGATATTACATGTCTACCATAAGACCAGTAAGGGATATCAAAACTGCATATAGAACGGAGGCAAAAATGGATATGCCGAGATCACTGTATCGAGGTGCTAAATACAGCAATGGATGTTTTATTCCCGATACTTGTGTTCCTCCCAAAGGGAAGCTTTCTTCCAGTAGTCTTAAAAGAGATGTTGTCCATACAAGGCAAGTATGGGAGCCTATGGATGCTCGGAGGACAGGCACCAAAAGTAATTCAGGTTGTGATGTTCATTCCAGAGCTGCTGTTATGGCCAATCACTCTGAAGGAATTCAATTTGATAAAGCTGACGCTGAATACTCACCTGAGAGCACTGGTGATCTGTCTAAAGCTGAAACTTTGAGTAATAACTATGAGGGTTGTGAGGATGGCAGAAAGACATCCAGTACTGGATTTGTGACAGTAGTGAAGTCTGATTGTTACTCGAAGGATCCCATGAGCAACAGTTGTGGTGATCCAACAATGAGCTCATCAAGTTCTGACAACTGCTCTTCATGCCTTAGTGAGGGAGACAGCAGGAACACTGAATCTTCGTCAACTTCTGATTCTGAGGATGCTAGTCCACAATCAAAGGGAAGAGATGATGCTTCACTCAACAACTGCAAGACAAATGGAGTTAGTTCTTTCATGAGGTCAAATTCAGGATTCCAAGTAGCAGACTGTGAATCTGTCTTTCCCGTTGAAGAACTAAGAGAAGCTGCCCAAATTACTGACAATGGGAGTTTTCTATTCGATACACATCCACAGCAGCGGCACATCCTACCAATGCATAGCCAAAGCATCGACGTGCCAGCTTTCTCCTCTCCAGCTGCAGGGTATCACAACCAAAGCGCAGTTTCTTGGGAAGCTTCTCCTAATGGATTGATGCCATTTCCCCACCCTAACCACTTTGTTTTCCCACTGAACCCTCTTGGTTACAGTTTACCAGCACCTCAGCCTTCAGAGTTTGGCATGCAGTACAATCCCCTGCAAACTATAACTCCTCCTTTGTTTACTGCACGGCACCATTCTCTGTATCAGACTGACAACAGGGTGTATGTTGAGAATCCTGGAGAGCAGTTCAATAACTTCAAGTTTGCTGAGCCAGTGTCCAACGTGAGCCCTCTTGAAAGACAATATCGAGACCGACAGTTGCCTTTGAAACTACCATCAAAGGGACAAAATGGGAGTGCAGGGAATACTTCTAAGGTGCATGATGATAGCTCAGTTTTCTCTTTGTTTCATTTTGGCGGCCCATTGGTTGGGGCTACACAAAATACTACTGGAATCTCAGCTACTGCTGATATTTCTTGCTCAAAGGAGGACACAACAATGGAAGAGTACAGCTTGTTTTCTACAGGTAACAGCACTAGATTTTCGATTTTCTGAGTGCATTACATAGGTATATTGGTGAAAGAAGAATGCTGTTGAGCGGTATCCCTATTTGGTGTGGAAGTGTGAGAGCTTGTATTCGGTCGGTGACAACAAATCATGTTTTCTAAAAAAAAAAGTATATTTTCGCATTTCATTGTATTTGGAGTTTTGCTTTATAGGTTTTGGGTTGTCGAAAGAAAACTGTGAGTGTTCTATACGGTCATATTATTTTTCTTATGTCATGTATGAGGTTAATCATTTTTCCAACATCTATATTGAAGCTCTTTCATAAAGGTAGAAGACATGGTTTTTTTTATTCGGAATATTTTCAACAATTGGTTCTCAAGGAAGTGCATTTGTTTTTATTAAAATCTAAAGGCTGCAGTTTTATTATGCACAGTGATAGAGGTTACACCTAGGCTGATGCAGTCTAAGCTGAGGCGATATATCTCAGACTGTTGTCATTATTATCCCTGTTGACGTCTGCTACTTTTGATCTCTAAACTTCAACCTTTTGTTGAAAAAGCTCTGGAAACAAATTCCCTTCCTCATCGTTTTGACACATCAAAATAAGCATATTAATTAGAGTTTTCGAGCAACCCATAAATGTACCCAATATTAATTAAATTATGATCCTTATCTTGCTTTCATTTTGTAAAATTTTAGGACTCAAAAAATCTATTTTCTTTGAACAAATTAGGAACATAACCCGGTTTTTTTATTTGTGATGTTCAGCGAGGTAATCGTAATTCTAACCTTTTTACCTCTGGACACTCCGCATCAGTTACTATACGTTAGTGCTCTTCACTGTCTTTCAGCCTCATCCGTTGGTTCATCGCTTAATTTGGAAGTTCGATAGGTTATAAAATTGTTTGAGCTGCAAAGCTTTGCAGAATATGGACGAACTATAAATTTTGTAAAGAATGATGAATATCGCTCGAATTTTGAATCTGGAAACTCCCTCCTTCCCTCTCTCTCTCTCTCTCTCTCTCTCTCTCGTAACCGAATAGCACCGAGTCTCAGTGTGCAGATGAGCGGACCAGCGTAGTCGGTTCAGTGAATCATCTCCCCAAGCAACACGTGTGCGTAGCCACCTAGCCACGTAAAACACCGCACGCTCTCGTCTCATGCCACGTACTCCGGCCGCACACGTGCTCTTCTCCTACCTCCCCTCTCCTCTCTTTATAATCCCCACTCCCTCCGACACTCAAACTCATTACATGATCTCTTCTTCTTCCCTCTTATTCCGTCGTCTAATCAGTAGTTGTAGTCTTTAGTATTATCAGCGGTCGACGTTGTTTTGTGCAGCGTAGTCCTAGCATTTTCAATCTCTCTTCTTCTTCCTCCTCCTCCTCCTCCTCTAATCAAAGCTTCAAATCCCCGACCCCTTTGGTCAGAATGGCCTCTGGTGGAGCTTTCCCTCCTCAGACGCAGGAGCGCCAGCCTGGCAAGGAGCACGTCATGGACCCCACTCCTCGGGCCGCTAGCCACGACTACAAGGCCGCCAACAAGCTCCAAGTACCAATCTCCATCCCCTTTCATACATCTGTCGTGTACAAATAGAACAACTAGCTAATTAACTGATTGGTAATTGCTCTCCATTAATCTTCAGGGCAAGGTGGCGCTTGTGCCGCGGAGACCTCCGGCATCGGCCGAGCTGTCTGCTTGTGCTACGAATGCAAGGCGCCACCGTCGCCTTCACCTACGTGAAACACAAGAAGACAAAGACTGCCAACGACACCCTCGCAACTCCTCCAAACAGCCAAATCCAGCGGACTCGAAGGACCCATCGCCATCCTACGTCGCGACTGCGGCTTCGAGCAAGAACTGCAAGAGGCGTCGTCGAGGCAAGTCGTCCAGAGCGCCCTTTGCCCGCATGCGACAATCCTGCGTCCAACACGGCGGCCGAGCAGTACGTCTCGCCCGACTCGCCGAAGATCAAGCGAGGAGGGCAGCTGGACCGCGTCTTTCGGACCAACATCTTCTCCCACTTCCTCACAACAAAGTACGCGCTCAAGCACATGCCGGAGGGCGGATGCATTATAAACACCACATCAGTGAACGCGTACAAAGGGAACGCGAGGCTGTTGGACTACACAGCCACGAAGGGGGCGATCGTGGCGTTTACGAGGGCGTTGGCGTTGCAGGTGGTGGAGAAGGGGATACGGGTTAACGGGGTGGCGCCGGGTCCAGTTTGGACGCCGTTGATACCCGCCTCGTTTCCCGAGGATCAAGTGAAGGAGTTCGGGAAGGATGTGCCGATGGGCCGGGCCGGGCAGCCGTACGAGATTGCGCCGAGCTATGTTTTCTTGGCCTGCAGTGACTCGTCTTATATCAGTGGGCAGGTTCTCCATCCTAATGGAGGAACCATCGTTAATGGCTAAACGATGAAAGAGAGCACGATGCGTGTTTTGGTGTGCGGGTGTTTATGGTGTCAAATAATGTTTTGTTTTAAGGATCTGGACGTATACCGTATGTGGTGTAGCTGTGGTGGTATTTTGGTACTTTTGTTATGGTTTCGTAAGTTTTGTAATGATAAAGAGTTTTCTGGTATGATGATGATATGTGCTATGCTAATGTACATATGTGCTAGCGCTCGATATGTTTCGGGTTTCTAATATACTTTGAAATTTCTCGCTGACTTGGATAAGTATTTTGTGAATTCGACTCAGCGATAAAAATGAGGATGATACTCAGTTATCCAAAAAAACAAAAAGGATACGCGGACTTAATTTCCTGCAAATTATAACTCTTATTAAACTGTTCGTTTCAAGTTGAGGGTGACATCCCTAAAAAAAGAAAAAAAGTTCAGTGTGAGTGTGACGATAAAGTTCTAACTAGGCTCAACATGATTTGGCGCAATGAATTGATTTATTATCGGAAATGGAAAGTTTTAGTAAGAAATAATCAACATAACTGAAGTAACAATGGGGGATATTGTGGAAAACAGAACACACACGCGGAAATGAAGGATTATTTTTTAAATAGACCGATTTTGCTAAATATTTATCAAAATCGATCTTTTTTTTTTGCGAACAGGCAAAAAGAAGTCGATTTTAAAAAGCGTCCAGCTGAAAACATACAGGACTACTAGTCCCGTATGTTTTCAAGGACACTAATTACTGATTAGTGCTCCTAGAAAACATACGGGACTAGTAGTCCCGTATAATTTCTGAGAGCTCTTTGGCGTTCAACAAAACATACGGGACTAGTAGTCCTGTACATAAAACAAAGACTTTTGGTCTAGATCTACTGGACTACTAGTCCCGTAAAAAAGTCGACTATTTAAACAGTTGTGCCTACATTTGGGCACAACCGCTATTATCAAACCCATCTCACTCTCGATCTCACTCTCAATCTCTCTTCTCTCTCCCAAACCCATCTCACTCCCTCCCAAACCCATTGAACTCTATCCCAAACCCATCTCACTCCCTCCCAAACCCATTGAACTTTCTCGCAAATCCGATTGCCACACCCAAACCCGATCTCCATCTCTTCCAAACCCGTTCTCTCTCTCTCCCAAATCCAACTCACACCCTCCTCCCTCAAATCCGACGTCGTCTATTATCTCCGATGCCGACGCCGTCTACACTCTCCGACGCTGACGAGATCCGAAATTTTATCAAGGTAACAATTTCATATTTTTTCATAAATTTCTCAATTTTGTTTAGTTAATATTGTATATCTAGAGGTATATCTAGAGGAAATAGTTAATTATGATCATCAATTTGTAAAATATCTAATTTGTATACGTTAAATTTTAACTCTTCAGTTAAAATGGCGAATGAAATTCCGATTATTTACTTATTCAATGTGAAATTGAGTGTTGGAATGAATAATTTGCCTATATAAAATATTCATGTTATCTAGAAATTGCAATTTCGATGGAATGATGGAGCAAATATACAGAGTTATCAGAATTAATCATGCTGAAAATGTCATTAAGGTCTTCTGTAATTGTCCAATAAATAAAAACAAAACAATTGCTATAGAGATCACCGCTGATGAAGAATTGAATGACATGATACAACCTGCGGATAAACAAATCGCAATTGAGTTGTTCGTTGAAAATATTCCAAAGTCTGGGGATGTCGAAGTTTCGTATGCTCACGGAGAGTTCTCACGCATGCTTGAAAGTCAAATCTTGTTATCTCAAAGTGCCTTGCACTTAAAAAATGACTCAGGTGCAATGTCAAGTGACATGTTTTACAACGCATCATGTCCTGTTTCAATTGATTTACCGGTTGGTGGTTCTATAATAGAAGAGGACAAAATGTAGATGCTGATGATGATAGTGAAGATGTTGAGTCCGAGGAGGAACGTCTTGATATTATGCAGTTCGCAATTGGAGAGAACAATGATGACGCAAGTTGGATGAATGAATATTGCGTGAACAACGATTACGTAGAGTCTGAAGAACCGTTGCCCGAAGAGTTTAAAATGATGAGTGGATAAATAACTCACAAGCTGAGTTAGTTGAGTCTGGTCCTAATTTCGATCGACCCGAGGATATCACTTTCAAAAAAAGAGATCTATTCGAGAATAAGGAAAGCTTAATTTTTGCTATACGTGATGGGCAATTAGGAACCGGGTCAAATTCAAGACGGTGAAATCCAATACAACTAGCTACCATGTAAAATGCTACTTCAATGAGAAATATCGAGCCGCTTATACAAGTGCTGCATACGATAGAAATTTAAAATATCCATGGAAGCTTAATGCAGGTGTTAGGAAAACAATCTAACGAGCAATTTATGATCTCAAGTTATTGCGGACTTCATACATGTTGCAATCTGACTGTCGCTAATGATCATAAGACAACAACTTCCGCTTATATCATGAAGCTAATTATACCTGAAGTTAGGCGGGAATTTGATCTTACTCCAGGACAGATAATTACAACGGTTCGTGCTATGAAAGGCATAACTATATCCAAGTTTAAAGCATATGATACACGTATGAAGGCGTTAACTAAAATCTTTGGAGATTGGGAAGAATCTTACCAAAAACTTCCACATTATCTTGCAACAATTAAGAGAAAAAATCCAGGTATGGAATATGAGATAGTGTCTAAGGAGATCGCGTCGGAAATAGAGAGGTTCATCCGGGTATTTTGGGTATTTGGGCCCACTATCAAAGGGTTCTCTTTTTATCGTCCGCTCTTAAGCATCGATGGAATGGAACACATTTATATGGCAAATACAAATAAGTGCTCTTGGTTGTGACCAGTGTAGATACTAACAGTGGGCTATTTCCAATAGCTTTCGCAGTTGTGGAGGTGGAGGATACATCGAGTTAGAAGTGATTTTTCAGTGTATTTACAAATACATTCCGACTGTTCAAAGTCCAAGAGTTATTATCTTTATTTCTGACCGAATGAAAGGAATTCCACGAGCCTTACATGAGGGGTGGAGTGCACCACATCATCACCGTTATTGCTTGAGGCATATAAGAGCTAATTTTAAGAGAAAACATGGAGAGGTCAATTCATAAAATATACTACGGCAAACCGGGTGTGCCACTGACTCACTTGTATATGAGAATTATAGAGAGAAAATTAAATCCCTATCAGTTGAAGCACATAATTGGATTGAACAAAACTTGAAGCCGCTATACGAAGATCGATGAGCATTATGTAAAGATAGTGGAGTGCGTTATTGTATGATGATGACTAATTGCTCTGAAAGTTTTAATGGTGTGTTTAAGGGTGCTCGTGCTATGCCAATTAGTTCCTTAGTTGCAAGGACGTTTTATAGATTGAACGCATACTTTAATAAGTGACGGAGTGATGGTGCAAATTAGACGAGTAAGTACACTCCAAAAAATGAGTTAATGTTGCAGAAAAGGGTTGTGGCTGTAAAAACATATAGAATTGAACCATTCAACGACAATGAATGGGAGGTCAAGAATCATGATGGCACTTACACCATTCATCTCTATGACCAAGAGTGTAGTTGTACTTGTAGCCTACCACAATTACAAAAACTATCATGTGAACATATTTTAGTGGGTAGTTCCAATCAGGATGGTGGCGCTAGATTGCCGTATGATTGGTATTGCTCAGCTTGGTATTTAACAAATAATTATCGAAAGGCTTATAAAGAGAGTTTTCATCCTCCCGACGATACTCGTTATTGGCCTGCCATTTATACAGAATATCTATTACCACCTCAAGTCAAAAGACAAGCGGGATGACCTCGATCTATGCGCATTAGAGGTACTATAGATCAAGGCCGGGAAGGAGCAGTGTCACGCATCAGATGTGGAACATGTAGTCAATTAGGGCATAATAAGTCTCGTTGTCCATCAAGAACAAGTAGATAGCAATTAATTGGTAAAATATTTTCTATTTCTATTGTTAATTTTATTATTGTATTCTTATACATTTGGCAGAAACTAATAAGGTAATATTGACATGTGCAGGTATAAACACGATGCTCCCCGGGCCAGTTTCTGATGAAGTCCTCTATGATCAGCCACGCCATCGTTTAGAGAGCATATCATTTACAGAGGTACTATGGTTCTATGTTTTTAGTCATAAGTTTATACTCACTTGTATATTCATTATGATATTCTAATATTTGTTTTTATTTTTGTGTAGAGAGGGCAGGAGCTGGTTATGATTGGTCATAGCCTTGGCATATGCGTTGGCCGTTTGATGATCCTCGCATCATTGTCCTAGTATCCCAAGCCGGTTTTCTAATTTTCTCACAATCGCGATGGATGAAGCTTGACTGGGCACTGCTTACTTCGTTAATGGATAGGTGGAGGCCCGATACTAACACTTTTCATCTACGTGTCGAGGAGACAACTATTACTCTTCAGGATGTAGCAATGATCCTAGGACTTCACATTGATGGCCCTTGTGTCACAGGGACAGATAGACATGTTTGGCTGACAATATGTGATGATTTGTTAGGACTATCTCCGGAGTCCTTGCCTGGAGGGTATGTTAGATTGAAGTTCTTAAAAGAGAATTTTGCAAACCCATTGCCACACTATGCATCAGAAGTCATGATCCAACAACATGCTAGAACATATATTTTGCACATAATCAGGACGCTTCTTTTTCCCGATTTAAGTAAACATAAAGTGTATTTGAGGTAAGACAGGTCATAAATTGTTATTACTATTTTTAGAAAATATGAATAACACAATTGATTTTTCAATAGGTGGTTACCACTTCTTGAAGACTTTAACGTGTGTGGGACATTATCCTGGGGTAGTGCTGTTTTAGCATATTAATATCAAGAAATATCAAAGGTTGCTTTAATGCAAAATAAAGAGCTTAAGAACTGTTTGACATTGTTACAAGTTTGAGCATGAGAGAGGCTGGTTTTGAAACCATGATTATGTGAGATCAGAGAGTTGGATGGACAGATTCCACTAGGCAGCAGGTAAAATTCATCAAATTTAATCTCGTTTAATATTTAATTTTAAATTTAAATTTTTGAACAAAAATCTATCTTATATAAAACTTGTAGATGAAATATCACTAAAGCCTATAATGAGGTCCCGGCTAGACAGTTAGACTTTTACAGAGGGGAGC